TAGTAGAGTGGATATTCGTTATAATGCAGTCAGAAGGTGACCAGGTTAGTACATTTCCCTCCTCTTCGTCACTTAAATCTCAATAGTGCTTCTCAGGGAACCACGTGCACTGCTTTCTCTTAGATGAATCACTGGTCCTCGATCACCCGTTTTTCTTCGCTCGTGAAAAGTAAGGTTTGGTCATCTGAAGGTGAACGATGTCCTTCGGGTATCGACAGTGAGACAAACGTAAAAAAAGGGTAGTTGCAGCTCCAGCACCATGTAAACTGAAGACAAGAGTGCGAGAGCGTTTAACATGACAGCGTTTGTTTTAGTGTCTACGTTTATGGACATGTCAAAAATGGACACGAATTCTTTACATCAGACTTAAAATTGTAACGTGTAAAAAACCTTTCGGATCTCTGGAATTCGCCAAAATTACATCTCGCAGAAATTTCGTGTCACACGGTATTTCACGCAGAAAAAGTGTGCTTATGTGTTGTTTGTGAGGATGAAAAGTGGTAGTTACCGCGTGAACGTGAAATTGTCATGTTTTATGTGCATGATCTATGGGATTTATAGCTCCATGATTCGACGTCTTGCGTAGTGTTTTAAGATTACTGCATGTCAAGTCTAACCCTGTCAAAAACATGTTGCGTATTTGATTTATAGGCGCCCTTCAAGATGAGTGATGGGACTACATACATGTTGAGCCCGAAAGGGAATTACACAGAATTTGGAGATTTCATGCTCAAGCTAGTCGCAGAAGTTTCTGGCCATGGCGCATCAGAGGGATACTGGTTGTGCTCTTGCGAAACCTATGTTTATAAATACCTCGAAAGAAGGCGAGAGTTTTTTTTTGTGATTAAGCAATGCTTAACATGAAACATATTAAATTAGCTTGGTCAATGCCAGAATCATCTTAATTAATACATTTCTCTTTTATTTGATTTTAGGAAAGTGATACTACCCGCCAGTGCTTTTGACAGCAGAGCCAAATTTCTTCTCTGTTTACGAGAACAGTTTTCCTCTGGTATGTTCAGTCTCAATGGGAGTGTCAATAATAGGGATGTTGCCGACCTTTATTCTTTTTTAAAGAAAGACTATCAGCTTGGGAGGCCGCAAAGGTGTCAGTTGATTAACCACCTGGGGTATCAAGGGAACAACTACTGGTACATCTCTGAAAAGGTGAATAACAGTGTTAAGAAATGTTTATGTACTTTCTGACTTTTCCAATTACGACAATTACCCGTATGAACAATACTGTGCATAATGAATGACTTTCCAGTGATCGGAGACTTACTTTTTAATACCTATGCGCACCTGCCTCGTACCCAGACGTCTCTCTCGCGCGCAAAGGAAGGCGGGGATTAGACAACGGGCGTGATCGGAGAATTACTTATGCGCACAGGATTATGGGATCGCCAGGGGGGAAAACATTGCGAGTTGCCAGTCCATACAAGGGTTGTTGGAGTTGGGCTTTGGACTGACGTATTTGCCGTGATTTTTATGAGAAGCACGATGTTAACCACTTTAATTTATTTTTATTTGTTGCCAGCCTAGCTGGGGTCTTTTTCGGTGCGAGATATTAACTGATATACTAAACTTGCTTTGCTACTGATATGTTTTTAGATCCAGTTGTACAATGGCAACCTTGTTGCTGAAGACCAACGCAGGTACCTGTGCCTGAATGGTGACTTACAGACCATGTGCACAGAGATTGCTGATGTCATGTTAACTTCCACCACTGAATTTAATCTGGCATTGACCAGGTAACTGTACGTAATACGCAGTTTCTATTGGTGATGACTCGCAAAGTTTAGTTTTTCTTAAATTCTATTATTCTAAACTAAATAAAACTAGAACCACTACGTGGAACTTACCGGGGCCCAGTGGGAGACGGGATTGCATAGTTTACCTCTCGCACCCCTCCCCCCTCCTGTGTGGAGGCTAATACTTAGTCTGAATTAACTCATGCAGAAGAAAAGCAACAAAATGCATGAGAAAGGAGGATGTTGTTATAACGGTCTGTGTTATAGTACTGTTTTTACACTGTGATGTCAATAAGTGTGATCTGTATAAGGTTTTTATTTGTTTTTAAGTTTGAGTGAAAGAGCAAAAATCACTGACAGTTTTGGGTTGAATGGTAATGACAAAGTTTGCAAAGAAGTTTGTTACAGAATTATCACAATTTTGCCTACACGGTCTGCATTACACTTCTCATAGAACAAACATGCATGTTCATGGAGAGTCTGAAGTGTTGAAGAATCCCAGAAAGTGCATGATTTGATGACAGAGAAACAAACTGCATATATGGACATAATAAAATGCTTATTTATTGATGACTGAGTATAATTTGTTAATTCACTGCACATTGAAATGGAGGCATTTGATTGTAAGGCAGTGGTTGATACATAGTGGCATTCATCAATATGACCTATAGTAATTGTAGAGGAAGTATTTCTTTCCTGAACTGGGTAAACAGTAGTAAGTGGTGCAAACTGGCCTTGATTAGATTCTACTATTTGTATAGTAACATTTAATGCATCTGCATTAACTGCTTGAATGATAAGTGCATCAGCCCATGTACCTTGAATACACATATTATTCAGATATCTTAGGCCATGAATTTTCGGTATTGCTTCCAATAAAGCTCTCTGGGTTGTCTCTCATAAATTGAACCCCTGCAGTACGTATATGCATATGATGGTTGCTATTGCCATATAATTGATGCGATACAGATCTAAAGAAACAATCACCTGCACTGTCAACATCTATTGATTGTAAACCAAGTTCACCTAATCTTGACTACATCAAATTCTCACAGGAAATAGGAGAGATCAAATGCATTGTTGAGCTCTGATTTTGCATAAAAGGTCTAATTATTACTTCATGATGATCAGTGTTGTATTGAGTAGGTCCTGGCATTCTTCTCAACATCTTTACTTAGTTTGAAATCAAATAATTGGTCATATGACTTACACAATTGCAAGAAAACAATGATAAATATCGACGTGCTTTACATTTTTTCATTATCCTCTGATAATGTCTGCTAAAGAAAGACAACAAATAAGCTTTCTTGGGTATAGCCATTTTATTTAAGTTAATTATCTTTGGATCGCATTTGTTATTACATTTATAGCGTGCATGATAAAGTTTTCTCACCTTATTAACATAGCGATGGAGCTTTGAAGACTTCGGTGTGTCAATCGTTGAAATCTTATTGAAGACAAATTTCTTCAACATGCTAATCTTCTTGTTGAGACCTCTAAGAAATAGCAGTGGAATTCTGCTCGGTTCACGAGCACGTCTACATCGCCTTGTAGCACGATTTTTTAAGATGATATAAAGTTAGCTTTGATAAGTGTTCGCTTTGATTCTCGATAAATTTCACGATGGAAGGTTCACTCCAGGTAGATAGCTTTGATAGGTGATTAACTCTTAAGTGATCGCTCGTAAATTTGTCTCTCCAAATATTCACTCTTAAACCTTCGCTCATAAACTAATGCATCGTAAAGGCTGGGGAACGAAAAAGCTATAACCTTTCTCTTGACTGTCCTCCATGCCTCGTGCTTTTCAAAATGGCGGATAAGATTTCAGTGAGCCAGCGACATATCTCAGTCAGCGATATATCCCTAACAATGTAACGTTGAAAAAAAGACAGAAACAGACAGCATTTTAAGACCGGTGCCAGCCTTCGGCTGGGCCCCGGTAATGACGTATTCACTTACATGTTGCAGTGTCTGTTGCAGTTGTTTTTTGTATGGTGTTTGGGTACACCAAATGGAGGATAGCTGATCCACTTCTAGTCATTACTTTGCTTGCATGAATCTTATTTAAGCTTTTCTTAGATCTTATAACCAATCCTTTGATTTTTCTTAAATCATGAACACGGAAAGGCAGCTGAATTCATTACGTTTCAACCTGGATATAATATTCTTTCATAGCTCTAGTTTAGTACTGTTAAAAAATAATGATTTGACCAGTGTTATTACTACTTTTAAATTGAGCTTCATTTATCAGTTTCCTCACTCAATCCACACTGTACAATATTGCATATTGGACCATACTTTTAATACTATAGAGCTCAGTCCTAAACAGAGAATAAAATAATGTTTTCCAAACATTTTAGTTTCCAAATTAACTGACAACAAAGTCAATTACTTTCAATTACTTCTTGTTTCCAGATACCTTTCCCTGTGCAGTGCGGCCTTTGGAGCTAACGCAGATGCTTTCATGGCTGCAACCTCATTTGTTCTTTGGCGAATTTTAGCAAATGCTAGGGGGCATTCAAATGGTATGTAAATGTGTATTCACTTTTCTTTCAAAATTAATGGGTAACAATTTTGCTGACCTATCAGATTTCTTTTCCTGGCAGGCATTTCAGGGACATGTCATTTAAAGTATCTGTTAACAACTACTGACTTAATTATGTCCAGTCTACCGCTTGTTAATTTGTTTCACAATTTAAATTGCAATCTCCTGTTAATAAGTGACAATTCGAAGTCCTTTCATTTTTATACAATAAATTTGATTGTCAAATAAAAACAAATTTTATGTTTTTCTTTAAGGGGAAGCGACCATTGGCCTCATTTTCAGTGGTAGCAGAAGTGTGGGTAAAACCACATCCTGGAAATTCTTGCTTATGGCCAGGGATGCCCCAAAAAGGACCATTCACTCCTTGTGTCACTTGGGGATCAGTGCCTTTCTGGAACATCACTGTAAGTGAATTGCAATTATTAGCCAGCTATAATATATATAAAAATAACCGTTGAATGTTAATCATTAACAAACATTGACCCCTGATTTGAAAAAAAAAATTGTTTTGAAATCCTCATCTTGTTTTAGAAAAATGGTTATGGACAAAGTTTCCAAAACGGGACTGGTCACTTTCCTTGATGACGGACGAATGACTGCAACATTAGCTGAGTTCCTACTCCAGCTGCAAGGAGGGTTGATGCAAGGCTCGAGTACTCAGGGAGCCTTGGTGCCAAGAGGAAGTGTTCTGTTGTCTTCTAATTATGTTGAGCCAGAAAGGTACATTTAGCTCTTAACCTTTTTTCGGAAGTTTATTTAAATATAATAACTGTTGTAATTTTTTTAATTATCATTTTTTCGCATACCGTAGGTTTCAATCTATTTATTGAAAAGATAATTTCCGAAACAATATGTCAATTACCTAATATCTGACTTATCTATGTATGTGATGAGTGCTACTAATTATTAGATACATCATTTACAATATTAGGTACCTTGAAATGTTTTGTAGGTCCAATTTAGTCACAAGGTAATAATAATCATTATATAATATAGTCTTTCTTACATAGGGTTTGCATGCCTATACCTTTTATTTATGGTATGACACATTTTATCATTTGAATTGATGTTTATAGGTTAGAGTGATAAGATTCCCTTTTCAAAGTACAGGGGGTTACAGCAAAGATGTCGAACATGCCATATCCATGCTTATGTCACATGTTCAAAATAACAAGGTGGGTTCCATCATTTGGTTCTTAATTAATTGGCCAAAGTGAAAATATGAAACTTTCTCTATAAAAATTGGAAAACCTGACAAACTAACACCGGGTAACATTGCTGTTTGCAGTTTTGTTTTATCATGTCTGATTGGCTTTTCCCATAAGATACACCATAATGTACCATAAGTATTTCTGGTGTGAGTTTCACAGCAAGATCTTCAGTCTTGAATTTTTTTCCGGGTGATATAATATGTACGTTCAGCAATAGTTAGTACTACTTAATAATTGTTGAAACTACTTAGAATAAGGTTAAGTTTAGGACCATAATATTTTCTTTGATGAGACAGTGAGTCATGATCATGAGGGTATAGTATAAGACTAGGACCAGAGTTTCGAAGAAAGAAATACTCATAATTATTGTAATATTCAGGGTAATGGTTGTTCAAAATGTCAAAGTCACCACACCACTCACATTAACAGACTAAAATTGAGAGGCTTAACCCATTCGCTCTTAGAGATTTTGCCGAAAAACGCGTTTTGAAGCTAGTCGAGTGGTTTTCTGGTCACTGTCGTGCTATAAAGAGCTAAAACTTACCACAAACTGGTTTACAGGTCGAACACTTCGCGGTCTTCCGATCCAGATGCAAAATATCAGCTTGCGAAGTTCGGGCATGCGCAGAAAGCAAAATTTCGACATAGTTTTTGGGTTTAAAAGTGACACAGCAGTCTTGACTTTTACTTTTCGCTTTCTCTCCTCCCTTCTTTTTTTGCTTTTCTTGCCTCATTTTTTTTTTCTCTTGCTGGGCATTTAGTAGGCTTGATTTTGGTGGGAAGAGTTTTTAGGAAAGCTTTTAGGATCTTAGGATTAGGCGAAAGGAAAGGTAGGTGGGTAATGGGACAAGATTTTCATGGAGATTTTCAGGTCAATGTCACGTGGTTTTTTGCTTGTTTCTCCGGTGTCCTTGACTGAATTGTGCTCATTCTGGTATGGTTTGAAAGATCTCTTCACTCTGCACAAGTTAGTGAAGAAAGTTGTCCTTGACCGTTAAAACTGATGACGTCACAATGGGTAGAAAGGACCTGGATCCGCACGGGCGGTTACGGGCGGTTCAGGGGCGAATGGGTTAATCAAAAAACCTAAAAATGGCCTTTTACCAACTTTTTCACCTGATTTGACATGAAATAGACAGATTTGGTTGTTTTATGCTGAAAAGTGGATTTTTTTCAAAAAGCTTGGTCCTTTGCTTAACCCATTCGCTCCTAGAGATTTTGCCGAAAAACGCGTTTTGAAGCTAGTCGAGTGGTTTTCTGGTCACTGTCGTGCTATAAAGAGCTAAAACTTACCACAAACTGGTTTACAGGTCGAACACTTCGCGGTCTTCCGATCCAGATGCAAAATATCAGCTTGCGAAGTTCGGGCATGCGCAGAAAGCAAAATTTCGACATAGTTTTTGGGTTTAAAAGTGACACAGCAGTCTTGACTTTTACTTTTCGCTTTCTCTCCTCCCTTCTTTTTTTGCTTTTCTTGCCTCATTTTTTTTTTTCTCTTGCTGGGCATTTAGTAGGCTTGATTTTGGTGGGAAGAGTTTTTAGGAAAGCTTTTAGGATCTTAGGATTAAGGACCTGGATCCGCACGGGCGGTTACGGGCGGTTCAGGGGCGAATGGGTTAAATATTATTGCTAAATAAATATACACAGCACTTTGCTATACACCACATTTTTTTTAGAGGGTGCAACGATCAGAAAATTTCCAATTGTGTCATGTGATCATAATTTTTTCTTCCTGACTCTGAGAATAACTAGAAGTGAGTTAATTGCTAATGGGAACATTTAATAACATAATGCCATTTCAGGGACTGTTAACGTTGTGGGCAGTGCGGAACGATAGTCTATTCGAAGCAGCAGTAGAGCACAACATAGTCTCTGGAGTGTCAGCTATACTGTCAGAGGCACTCCCTGACTACCAGCCAAGGTGGTTAAAAGGAGTTGCCGGTGTGATAGTCACACAAGTTATTGTAAGTTGTTTTTAGTTGACAGAAGATGGACATAACCAATGTGCAAAAGCTACAGTTTAGTATGTTTAGAATTTAATGGATTAAGTAAGGTAAAGATTCATATATCATTGTTTCTTTCTTCCTAGCTTTTCCTCACAACAAGACATCCAATCACGCTGTTGGAAATAATTCAGCAACATGTGTCATTTCAAGACACACTTAAGAGTTTTTTAACACCCCTACAGAAAGTCCAACTGGCCATCTATTCGGACATTAAGGCCAACCCATCAAAAAGCATGGTAGGCAACCAGCTGTATTTTAACCTTTTAAGCCCCAATATCCAAATACAAATTCTCCAAACTGATCTCCATACATCTCCTTTAAGAATTAGTTGAGAGAATTTGATAAAAGATCATGGAATTTTCTCTATGATGATAATTTTAATAATTCTCATATCTTTATCTCTTGACAGTGTATGGATATTGTTAGGAGAAAATTGTTGTTGGTCACTATTGGGAATTAAAGGGTTAAGACCTCTACTCATGCAGAGGTTATCTTACGTAGAAAAAAAATTTTATTGAAACCTATTCACATGCAATTTAATATTTCTTCAATGGGAATATAACAGGGAATAAGTGTTTGATGTCTGTCTATATGATTTAGAATACAGTTGAACCTCCCATAATATTTAAGCAACCACTTCAAGGATTTTTAAAAGTGATTGTCTCTTAGAGCTGGTCACTTACAAGAGTTGGCACTGATCAATTATCCTGCCTTTGTTAAAAGTGATCTTCCTTTTTAATTCATTGAAATTGGCACAATTCTTCTACATAAAACAAAGGATGGTTTACATTGTGTATTACAAATACATAAGTTGTTACATGTGACATGTTTGAATCATTTCAATTTCTTATCATATTCTTTCTTTCAAATTTAGGTCCTTTCCTGGCTTCATCCATCTGTGAATGTGAACACTCAAAGTGGCGGAGGAAAAAGTTTTGTGCCTGGAATTGGCATCAGGGCCAAAACTACGGATCGGTGGGCAGATGTCTCAAGACAAGTATGATACTAGACAGAAAAGGAAATCTACAATTTTAGAAACAAACAGTTTTGTTTTAGATGCGGGAATTGTTATTGTATTTCAGTGTTTATAGCAGTGTCAGTATACCAACAGTCAACCAACAGACTTCTAGGGGAGCTCTTCTTCACTTTCACAGGAAAAAATAACGGATTCCCATTTTTGGATATTTTAGGGTATTTAACTAATGCCCATAAAAATCCCAAATTTGGCAAAGTGAGACAAGTCCCAACCAGGGAATTCCCAACCAAGTTCCCTGATTGGGACTTGTCTCACTCTTCCAAATTTGAGATTTTTGTGGGTATTCTTTAAATACCCTAAAATATCCAAAAATGGGAATCCGTTATTTTTTCCTGTGTTTTACTCTATATATGTAATTTCTTAATAGGCTATGCGCAGTTAGCAGTGTGCAATCAATGTAATTATCCATATCTCCACAAAGATAATAAGTTAATGATAATGATCGAAACATGTACATACTTCAATCTTTGTGCCCTACATAGGAACTTTCAACTGAGGCAGAGAAGTATGGTGTATCTTGCGTGAATGTGGCAATTGCCTTTGGAAATGGGAGTGAATGCTCAACCAGTGACCTTACAAAAAGGTCACCAAAGAGTGAAATGAAGAAAGGGATCAAGCTTCCAAAGAGGGAACTCAATAATAGCTTAGTGGCTCTGATAGATGCAGGTTAGAGCAAATTTTTACTAATGATAATTGAATTCACTCCAAAATGTTTGTGCAATATACACAGTTGATGGGTAATGAAACTGTATAGCGTAAAGTTGAAAGAAGAGAGGGGTGATTATGGAATCTCCTTTTGGGTGTCTAATAACTTGAGCTTTTAAACAAAGGGAACGTCTCAATCGTAACCCAAGAAAGTGTATATGGCCTTATGTCTCATTATGGACATGCATACAGCTATTTCGATAACGCTTGTCAGAAAACATGTGCCTGCAACAATCCCGAAAGGTAACATGGGATATGGTCATTTATTATATGCTGGTCCTGACACTGTAGCTGTCGAATCTTTTATTGTTGATTTACTTTAGCACTCGCAAACATATGTCCATGATTTCTTTGATGAACAGCGAACTCAAAAACCATCCACAGTACCTGTCCGGATTGTCGCGTGCACTTTGCCGACAACCTTTCTCGAAATAGCTGTACATATACATGTACAGAGTGTACATGGGACTTTAAATGGGGTTAATTTGTTCAGAGACACTCACGAGTTAAACTGCATCTGCTTATACATTTATGAGCTTCTGCTGTATTCCATTTTGTTGACAATTATTGCTATTCCACAATATCCTATCAATTGAAATCTTATTTATAGTGACAGGAAATGGAGGCAATGAGGAAGATGTTCAAGACTTTCTTAATGGAACCTTAATTCAAGATGAAATTACTGGCTCCAATAGTACTGCCCAGGTACTCAGTGTCAAATTAAGGGACAGCATCAACCAGCTTTCTGGCAGCCAAGCTCGAGAAACTTGTGGAAGGTTAGCTAATAAATAGTAGATTTGCAAGTTATTAAACGTTTGTTCCCTGACCTAAATGTTATGCCAATTAAGTGTAAATCCGAGTGAGTAAATAAGTCCGGTGGTGATGTACTGGTAATATAATGGAAAAGGAGATGATCTGCACATAACAAATTAGATCATTGCCCAAATTAATGTCTTGTAAATCTTACCTGTGATCATACATTATGTGTGGTACCTAATGGTTTGATGTAAGATTGTTATTGTTTTGCAGAGGGGAGTGATGGAGAAGTCTTTACAACTCCTCAAGAGACCCCAGAGGCAAGTCTTAATTGTAATGTTGGCCAGGGGTATTAATCATACCTTCAATTTGATCGCAATGAAAAGATCTTTAAGTTGTATGATAATAGCTGCAGGCTTTGGATGTTAATACACAAGTTTCTATTAATTTAAAAAATATGTAGATCATGGAGACACTGGAGGCAATGACTCCGAATTCTAAACGAACGACAGAGCAGTACACTCCAAAGAGCAGAAAAGTTTTCATACAGGTACTTTAAAATAGACTTTACATTCTTCTTTGCTAATTTAAATTACTTGTCAAGCATAGCACTAAAATGCAGCTCAAAAAGAGTAAGAGAATTAGGACCTGCTTTGGATGTCCTTGAAGCTAAGCCCATGCATTGTCACCCTAAAATGCATTGTGAGAATTTTCTGTAGTTAAAAATTGCCATTTGAGAATTGAAAGCCAATCAGAACAATGCATTCAACAGATGAATTTTTCCCCAACAAAGGGACAATCAACCAAAACCACTTGGGTGAACATGGGCCTTTAACTTAATAATATTGAATTTAAGTGATTTCACTGTTTTGCTAGATGTCTTTCTGGTGATGTAAAACACCAGTTATACAAATTTGGAAATCCACTAAGTGTAGCTACTTTGAAACAATGATTTATTCAAATATGTAATTAACAATTTTTCCTCGAGCCCGACTGGGCTCTGAGGCAATAGCTATTGACTCATAGGCCATGAGGGCGAGGGAAATAAAATAATGTTTTAGTAAAATCCAACTAGTTGGCCAAAAATATTGAGACAAAACAACTTTAGCTAGTTAAAGCTAGACTTTGAAGCCATCGTTTTAGCTTTCAAACCCGTTGCTTTTTGCTACTAGTGGGCCATGACACATAGGCAGCCTAGTAGTAGCTCAACCAATCAGATTGCAGCATTGATAATAGGCCACTAGTCAGATTTTAGTAATAAAAAATAGACATGTTCCACACATTTCATTTGAAGGGATATAAGCTTGGAGTGTCAAAAAGGCTAGCTTTACACGTAGAGGAAGAAGATGGAAAAGAAGGTAAATGTGATCACCGTATGTCAATATTGTAAACTTCCTCTCATGTATAACTTCTGTCCTGTTATTAACAGCTTGCAACGTGATGTGGCAAAATCAATCATCATTATTAATTAATATATTTCTAACATATAACCAACTCTTCAGACTTCCCGGTGATATGGAATAATATTGAAGTACTGTCAGTAGCTGCATGAATATCACTTTAAATATTTTGTTATGAAACTCTCAATAATAATGAGGGGTTTCTTAACAAAAGACAAAATAATAGGACTTAAAGGAGCTTAATTGGGTTTCCCGACCTTAACAGCCCTTGTAATAGCCTGCAAAAGCATTGGATTCCGGGTTTTTCAGATGGAGATCTATAAGCGATGACCAGAAATAGTCTGCGGTTCCAGGCTACCCTAATTAGTACTGGAACAACTGGCAGCCAAACTCACACAATTTGAACCTCAGTATCAAAATTTATGTGATATTTGTGAGATCGAACATTGATTATTCTTTGCTTCCCTTTTTATCTACAAACTTGTGAAGCTGGCAGCATAATGTTCTAATTCCAGAAATTACTTAGGAACATGGTCAATGATTGTATTCTTGTTAATGCACTACAAACATTATGACTGTGTTTGGCTTTGCAGGTGATATTTCTTCTGTAAATTCTGGTGTTTCCAGTGACAAACCTGGCACCTCAAGTGTCAATGGGACCATTGGAATTTTTCCAAAGGAGCAGAAAGGTGAAATGCAATTTACATACCAGCGACATACAGCACAGGGGCACAGTCACCATATACATATGATATTTTATGTGCAAACCCTTTGAAAGCACAAAAAAAAAGTGGTTTAAAAGTATCTTAAGTGGAAAAAAGCATTTTCGATAATTACATTTATTTTGACAAGTATGACATAGAGTGAAAAGCCCTCAATCACACAATCCCTGACATTTACCCAGTGAGATAAGGCTGTTAATGTATCCTGGATCAACCTTTGCTGCAGTAAGTAGTTTTAGCCCCCAGACCCCCCAGGCTTGCATCGTTAGCACTCAATGAAATTTTTTAAGGTGCATACTCCATGATAAATACACACTACACCTCTACAGAGGTGTTTAAGTGGACAGAGTATTCCTGACACCACTGTCACCTCATCAAAATTTTTTGTTTTTGAGGTTCTAATAGGGTATTTTTGTTTAATGTCACCTGTCAGAATATGTTGACCATGTTTTAGTTTTATGGTGCTGACTTTTTCTGGAATTCTGGTATTTTTTTGAGTTTCCATTTGATTTTACGTGCATCTCTATCTTGTTGTAAAAGGCAATACCTAAGAAAATAGACTGAAATGTATAAAAGAAATATTTATTATTTATCGATACAAGCTTGGATATTCTCTGAGAACCCAATCAAAGTTTGGAATTCAGGATACCCAAGATTAATAATTTTTATTAATGCGAAGATCAGATTACTAGTTGCCCATGTAAAGGCAAGAGTTAATGTCCATGGTCACTGCTTAAGTGCACCACTATGATAATAATACTGTTATGTGTATGTAGCAGGTACAGATGATGATAAATGCTACATGTGCCAGGACACCTCGCCACCCACTGCACGTAAAGGAAAAGGCAAAATTGATTGGATACAATGCACAGAATGCCAGCACTGGTTCCACATGTAAGTATTTACACTGCAACATTTCAAAACAAAGGAAAAGAATTGAAAAACTGGAAAGCTTCTGTGACATTTTCTCACCCAAAAGTGAACGGTTTGAACATTTCCAAAAAAATTGGAAATCACATTTTTAAAGTTTTGACAGAGGCGTGAACAGTACCATTTTAAGACTGATTTATCCCAGAAATAAATATAAAAGTTTTATATTTTTCCTTTCTAGTTAACAGCAGCTCTCGGCAATATGTTACAGTACTTTGTTTTTTAATTTATGTACCCCACTACCCTCATGTGAGCATTGTTGGCATAGGAGCAATGTGAAATAAGGATTTACTGTATTTAGGTATACCTTGCAGTAACAATTTACTTTAGGCCATTGTTTTCTAAGTAACTGTCCTAATGACTTGAAATACGAGGACATCTACTTTTTATGGGTATAAAACAGTTAACATTATAAGAGCCACACACAGACAGTACTTATTGCCAGCTTAAAAGTGATTTTTTTTTTTTATTCCAGGGTATGTGTAGGTGTTAAAAGAGCACCACGTGCTGACTGGTTTTGCACCACATGTGCATCGACACGTCCAGTGCAATAATTCAATATTACTTTCGTGTCCAACAAGTAATTGAAAAATAAATACTTGCTTACTGAGTTGCATTAAGTTGTGGGTGTTTTAATTCAAAGTGCACTTATTTACTTTATTACTGAAAGGGGAAGTACAGTTGGACCTCAAATTGTGCCATGTCTAAAACATCTTTATTTTTGAGAAAATGGCCCTTAAGGAAAGCATGAAAGTTTGAATTGCGCATGTGCTATGATGCAATGCAATGCAACTAAAGAAATCATCTGTTGTCATTATAAAAAATCCTACTGTGAAATAGTAAACATTATTATTTTAAAGAAAACTATGTGGACCTAACATGTACTAGGACACTGAATACTTGCAATCCTACATGCAGCCTCTCATAACTGATCATGACTATTTTTGGAGCAAACGTTTGACTCTTGTAACCTCTAGTGAGGGAGACCCAAATGTGATGCTGATACAATTTTGCCATTTTTGGCCAGCACAGCAGATGCGAATGTGTACTTGCAAGTCAAAGGCCACTGATGTGTTCGCCGAAATACACAGTTTCCAAACGCACATTTCACACTACTCACAGTATTTCAAACAGATGTTGGTTTAAAAGGATATAATGCAACTTCAAAGCGACTTTGAAAATGGATTATGATGAAGAATGGGAAATTTGACCTAAAACCAAAACTGTCCAGCAGTCAAATTGTGCGGGAACGGAACAGATTTGTAATGTTATGTTGGACAAAGCTACCATTCTTTGTCATTACAGATTACTGGTGGACAAAGTCTCTAGTGTATTACTACCAAGAAGTACACTGTATACAGGGAAAATTGCTAAACACTTTTACCTTAATATCTAATTAAAGTGCTTTACGAGCACACTCGTGAATCAAATGCTGAACAAGCAACCACATTTTCCCCTCGACATGGCAACTCATTTATTGTTCATAGGTAAGGCATGATTTGAAAACTAAGTCTACAATGGAGTGCACCATTGACAGAGCTTATGAAACACTGTGATAGGGAACTATGTCAATATGTACTATATTCACTCAAACAAACCTTACAACTGAATTCCAACAAATAAACTAAGAAAGAAAGGCTGAATTAACAGGCAGGGAAATATATTTTCCTGGCAGTAAATTCAGCCTTGCTTTTTAAGTTTATTGGTTCAACAATTTGTTGCTGATCAGATCCTTCACTACATGATGTTGTGCTTCTATTTTGTCTCGGTGGTCCTTGCAAGCATATACCGTTTTTTATCAGAGAACTTGAAGAACCCATCAACTATTGAAAGGAGTATAAATTTATAGCATGAGAATAAGGGTACAATATGACATTAACGAATATCAGCTTAAAAAAACAATTAACTCCTTTGCGCTTTATGAAGGAACATTGTTCACTACAGTAAATCTATGGTATTTGTCTCTCACTAACTGCTGACCCTCTTTTAGTTGCTTGGACAAACGGCATTCTTGCTGCATCACAATTGCCTCATTCTGGTAGTAGTCCATCAGGAAATTAAAACAAAAATGAAGTCCAAAGCCTTGAAGAGTGGAGCTGCGCAGACGCTTCATATTCTTTCTAAAATTTTCTGACTCTTGGTAGCTTGTTTTAATGGTAGTGCTCTGTTTGCACAGATCAATATTGTGAAACAAGCAAAGAGGTGACTTATGTGGCTTGGTGGAATTGTGGAATCTGTCCCCCAAGATAAATCTTTGAGAGCAACGTGAAACTGGATGCTCCATTTCACCAAGATCATCAGAAACCTCTGGAACATAACTGGAACGGTACTCGGCTGGCACAATAAAAGGGCAATCAACTTCCTGGAAAATAATATGGTTTATTATCAAACATAGCACTCCAGTTTGCAATTGTTGCTATATGTCAAATGGGAGGGACTATTCAATTCAAGGGATGAAAACAACATGTTGCTTTTGTATAACTGCAGAATCCTTTATGCCAAGATAAACAAATAAACAACGATGAAATTCGAGAATAGAGGGATATTAACAGTCAAAGGTGTTTATTTCACGACAGATATTTAAGTGATTTCTGCACCTCTAACAGGGTGATTATCCGAAGTTTGGCACTTTCAGGCCTTCATTGTCTCCATTTGGCACAAGATACATGTTATGATAAATACAGGTCAACTCAAAAGAACCATAACATGAGTTAGTTACACAATACCTCTCCTCTAATACATACCTCTGCAGGTTTCTTGGCATACTCAGGTTTTTCAAAACATCCTGAATTTTCTCTCCAAAGTGCTTCACATAGATCTGGCGCTCTACATTCAAGATGACGCACCATTCCACATGGAGAATCACAAATGAAAACAATTGGTGGATACTTCAGGGACATATATAAATCTGCGGCATCACGTACGGACTCCGTAAGGGTTAAAAACTTGGAGGCAACTGTACACTGAAGAAGAAATGGAATAGAACTGTTCAACATCCTTTAAAAAGAGACCAAAAAGACAGCACATAATATACACTTACACCGTGACGGCAAACCAGATGGTAAAACCCTCCAGTATATAGTACTAAAGTGTGACGTCATAAAAATGAAATTTCCGAAATTATGGGATTTGTCAGGATATTCTGAAAGAACAATGTCCAAGAGGCCTACTTGCCAAAAATGAGCATTTGGGGGCAAATTGTTTCTGAGATCGTAGCCCAGTAATGCTTACAAAACTCCATACAAACCCTTCTAAATTTTTTTTGGGTCGACCCAAAAAAAAATTAGAAGGGTTTGTATGGAGATTTCTGAGTATAACTGGGCTACGATCTCGGTCTGTTAAACGGGGCTTTACCTCATTTTTGGCAAGTAGGCCTCTTGGACATTGTTCTTTCAGAATATCTTGACAAATCCCATAATTTCAGAAATTTCATTTTTATGACGTCATCACTTTAGTACTCTATGTCCAGGTACTTTAGTGAAACCATGGCAGGGACACAATCCAACAAGCATGGAACTGTAAAGAGCTTGAAGATCCGTGCACAATTTTACCTAGGGAAAATGACAGAACATGTAACGTATACAGTGCAAAAAAAATAATGAAATTACCACAACAAATAAATGAAAGTACAAGTAAGATGCTATAAGTACAGATTTATTCAAAAAAGGACTAACATTTACAGCTGTTTGGATGGAAACCTACCATGATGAAAGAATCAGTCGTACTGATGTACTTTAAAATACATGTACAATACTATTTCTCAAGAACATTTTAGTGCTCAGCACAAATGAACTTCAAAGGTATTACCTTGGACTTGCCAGATACAGGAATGTTGCAATGGGAACACAACTCCTTTAATTCATCAACAGCACAATCCTGAATTCTGGCCATGTTCAAGTTCTTTTCTTTGATTTCCTTATGAAGGATTGCAGGGTCACCTAGAAGTAATGATAAAATTGACATGTTAATTAGGAAAGCATGCAAACACATCAATAATTTACTATACTGAACAGTCCAGAATATTCTTAATAGTACCATAGTATGCCATAACATTCTAAAAACCAACAAAATTTGTCAGAAGATAGAAAAGGAGAACCACAAAAAGGTTCCAAAACCAAAACTAAGTCGGCGAAAGAGTAAAAAAAAACAAAAAAAGGTACAAATTAAATATGATGATTTAAGCCGTATTGGCGTACCGTAATAGTTAACTTAATATAATATTATATGTAGTTGCAGCATTGAATTGTGCTTGTAAATGCCCTAACTAAATGCAAGATCTATAGCTTTTTTCATTCTTAATTCTCACCCTAATTTCAGCCGATCATTGTCTGCATTTCAAAAGCTACATTCTAAAGAGTACCCAAAATCTTTTTTCACTGAAATGTAAAAGTCCTGCGTGCGACCTACAGTACAGTGTAGTTACCTGATGCCACAGAGTTCTTCAAGAAAACACTTTTCTTGTCATTCTCCGAGTTGTACACCACTGAGCCACGGAGGACTGGGGCAATAACCGGTGGCAGTTCTTCACTGTTAATAATCAAATCATTGTTGGCCTTGGTGTAAATTACTTTCTCCATGAGATGCAACTTGAGTTTTTGGAGAAAATCTTCTAGGCCCATCATTTCCTTAAGTGGAACACCATCACTGGGATATACAATCTGGCAAACCATAGCAAAATTCAAATCAAATAAAAGAGCAAAATTAATGATAGATTATAAATTAAAGACATAACACTGCATACAAATATAAGACAATGTTAAAAAATCGTAAGTAGTTCATGAGCTCAACAACCTATCACGTCTGCTTAAATCCATCATTGGTAAAACACTGTCAAACAAAAAAGCCTGGGGGCTGCATTTGAGTTCAGTCTTGGGAGAGTGAGAAGCAAATTTTACCTTGCATCATTAAGATTCTCTATTTCAAAATTTCATCCTCATTAGTATTCTTTATATACAAAATACTAACAAGGACGACATTTTATGTCATTGCACGTGGCCTATGAAGATTAATTATCTGCACAGCAACTGACATCTGACATTATGACACGTGATTTTACGCATTTGTGTGAAAATCCAAAATGTTGATATACTTTATTAAAGCTTAAAACAAGTTCCTGGCCATACAAATAATATTACACGTAAATATATCTGAACACATGTGTACACTCTACCTTTCAATTACTACAGCAATTCTTTTCATTTCCGTCACCCAAATACACCTCTCCAATTACACCGCATATCCCACAAACAGCTTCAGACAAGTTCCTTTCAGTCATCATCTCAAAGCACCAGAACCCATTGTATAACAACTCATTGTAATACCTGATCTTCTCCATGGTTGGGCATTGATCCTATAAACCAAAATCAAATTAAATAATTAATAATTAATCATTCACTGGATGTTTCTGAAGTTTTATAGGTATTGATTGATCAATTCAAATAATACTTTTAGTGTAATATGAGCATTAAAGAGTTATTATCTTGAGATCTATCTATTAAAAGTTTGATAACCTTAAGTCAGATTCTAATATTAAGTCATTTCATATGCCACAATAGTTTATTACATCTACCTTGTTAAGTTTCATGACAAGAAGATCTGTTTTGGCTTCAATGAAGTTTAATACTGGACAACCTCTTCTAAATAGCTCTCTCCACTCCAGAAGTATGTCAAAGGAAATGAGAATCTTATCACTAACATTGAAGAGCCCTAGAAAAGCAAAAATATATTTATTATTGATTGAACACTGATCGAGCCCAAATTTTTGTAGGGATTGCTCAAGGTGACAGTTAAGCCAACAAAGAGAACTCATGAATTGAAATAATCATTATAGAGAAGTTATGAGTAAAAGGATCCTAAACATTGGCAAATTAAGCACTGAACTGTCATTTTTTCCCCTCACCAGTGGAGGAACTAAAAAGGTTATGACCTGATCCTAATTAAAAATTGAACACTTTTTGGCTTCAAATGTTTCCATGAATAACTATCATGTGTTTCAACAGGCCTCCAAGAGTTGGTTTGGAAAAATAATTGGACACCCACCGATAGTCTTGTGAGAAGGAAAAACACTCGTAAGTGAGCTTGGGAAGCCTGTGATAACATATGAAGCATATACCGGTACATATTTAAATAACTAACCTTCCTCAGTTGGAAAAACACGATGCATCGCCTTACACAAAGACGAGCTGCATTCTTTTACTCTGACAACCACCTTTTTAAAGGGGTTCAAATTGCTGTACAACACACTGCCTCCTCTCGAACCAGAGTGAACCTTGGATTGACCCAAAGGATTTCCACAGAGTCGACAGGATGCATCAGCTACCTCAAATATGGATGGCCAACCCTGCCCAGAACAAGAAAGATGAGTTGCAGCATCTTTGCGGCTGACCAGATTAAGGAATTGCGTTGAGTAACGGTATGGCAACTTCTCGTTTGCATACAGTTGCAACGTAGATGCCCTTGAAACGGGTTGTTGAGGGTCTTCACTTAGTGGAGAGATAGATTCGGAGGAGGAAGGAGCAGCTGGTGAAGTTGAAACGGCATGCTGAGGGTCTTCGCTTAATGAAGATGTAGATTCAGAGGAAGGAGCAGCTGCAGGAGCAGCTGCTGAATTTGATAGTACTGTTGTTGAAGAATTAACAGTATTGTGCAGCTCTGTGCAGCAAAAAAGGACATGAAGATGGTCACAAATGGCCCGAGATTTCTCCTGCTTTCCCTTCGCAAGAAAGCCTTTACAGCAACACTTGTGGTATTTTCAATTCTTGCCATCCTCAGCCTTCACGTGGCAAAAGCCAAGAGTGTTAGTGGCACTTGGTGGACAATAAACAACAAAAGTACGGTCAGAGACTTTATACACAGCCTGATGAACTGCGGGGACAACCACGTTCTTCAGCATTTCTTTTGTAGCAGAATCGCACGGGTAAGAAGATATTTTGTCTTCGGAGAGAGAAAAAATGCCACTGGCTTCCACGCTCTCTGCCACGTGCTTTAGGTGCTGGCAAGAAAATTCATCTGACCGGTTGCTTGATACATACATGGCACGGATGTCCTTGCATTTTGAGTGTAGGCATATCCAGTTGTCGCATTCTTTGTAAACGAAACATCTATCGTCCCTGGTGCTTGTTCGCACAGAGTACAGTCCACCATGAATGTGGACTGCCACCGGGCAAGACAATTTTGGCATCTTGGCCGCGGCTGAACCTCCCAAATGGTAGCCGCAATTGCTGCATTGTACTGGTTTCGAGCGGTTAAAATACACCGTCGCGCAATTCGGGCAAGAGCCCTGCCCCCGGTTGCTCCAACTGATCATTAAAGGAACAGCGAATCATCAAAATTGACTAAATTTTCGGTAAATTTTCGCCACAAATCTCCTACGCGACTCATTTAATGAACTTTTAAATATGCGCCAAAAAACTATTCTTTATTGACCAATGAAAAATTTGCAACTGCTGCAACGGAAGTGAAGTTATTGACCAATCAGAAGACCCGTTCCGACGGCTTCTTATCAACTGATATCGAAAGTGTTCTAATATCTGTTGTATACGAACTGCATGGTTAAAAACACCGCGCCAGTAACAAACCTAGAGTTTGAAGCATGTCTGCAATTATATCAGCTGTATTTAAAGCCACCATCGGCTTGATTGTGGATAAAGGAAGAGATGTAGCAGCGGAGAGGATGAAAGAAGGTGACGTGACTGATCAGAAATTTCGCAGCCTGATCGTGCGTGATTTGAAAGAGATCCACAACAAATTGGATGCATTATCACAAAAAGATCTTAAGGCAGCTGTAGACTTCTTTGAAACAGGACTCAGATGTCTTTATAAGGCAGTCGATACAATGGGCAGTGCTAATGTTAGTTTGGGAGCAGCGAAGATATCTGAAAGAAATGAAGAAGAGGACTTAAAACAAATAACTTTGCCCTCAGACACTGACCCTGAAAAGACAATAGTCCTCGCAGATGGAATAAGAAGCATGCAACTGACTGAGTTGGATGAAACAACGAAAAGCCTGCTTTCTGATGCACAAGAGAAATTCAGATTAGCTGTGGAAAACGCGACACACGCTTGCAACAATGAAGCCCTCAGCACCTTTGACCGAATCACAGCCATTCGATATCGTGTTATGGCGGCAATGTTAAAGTCAGCAGCTGAGACAGTGAGAACCACTGGCGACTTGACAAGTACTTTGCAGAAAGCATTACCAGAGTGCGAACAGTGCCTGAAGAAACTCAATTCGTTACCAACTGTTCAGAACAGCTTTAAATCCGAGCTTAGTAAAGGTCTCCTGAACATCAGAAGTCGATTTGGTAAAGATGAACGGATGCAGATAATTTCCATTGTATGTCAGGTAAATCGCACCATCTACGATGCCATGCGAACGGTTGGTAAAGACGTACATGTCTTTGTGTGGCCATATGTTGACATCGGAGAAGATCAAGTTGACCCTCTGCGCGATGTAAGAGTGTTACAAGTGTTGGAGAAATCAGGGAAAGTTGTTATGGAGCACTACTGCATTACACCGGGGTGGTCGTTTGATGTGAGAGGAGGTGTTGATGAGATTACCGACTTAGCTACGAACACCATGGGACAGTTTCTATGTACCTCAAAAGATGAAAGGACCGTGCATGTTTATGATAACAATGGTACGTTTCTGTTTAGTATTAATCCCCAAACTGATGATGCTAAAACAGAGATTCATTTGGTTCATCTCGTTACTGAAGACGTTAGCGAGAAGATCTTTTTACTGATCGCACTGCTCAGTGAAGAACAATGGGGGTATGAAGTGCAGGTTTTCAACAGAACCGCTGACCTACAGTACAAGTTTCCTGTGAGAGACGGGAGGAGACTGATAGTTAGCGGCAGCAAACTAGTAACATTGGGATCAAGGGAGGCTCATGTGTACAATCAGAATGGTGAGTTTGAGCGTAGTTTTGAGTTTTTCAAGAGTGGAGGCGACAAGGAGTTATTTGAATGCACTGCTACTTACGACGGTCGCATCTTGATAATGCACTATAAAGGAGACTTCAGCGATTACCACTGTGTTCATGTATTCACAATGGAGGGACAGGAGATTGCAAAATTCAAATCTGGCGTCGGACTAGGTTTTCGATTTATGTTATTTTCAGCTCGTTCTGCAGGTGAACATGTTGTCATCGCTGGTTACAATTTTAAGGATGAGATCATAACAGTGGAGTTATACACTGTGGAAGGAAAACTTGTGCGAAGAATTCTGCTTTATAAAAGTGGAGTCCATCGGTCCGGGATTCGAGGAATTACAGTGACCATGGAGGGACACATTGCTGTGAGTTATATCTCTGACAACGTTACATTTCGAAAGGTAGTTGTCTTCAACTGAAAAAAGCGGCTTTTTGGCTTGACAAATATTGTGAGGAATTTCATACAAAACAGCAACTGAGTTACAGCACTAACAAGCTTTTTCTTTTCAAAGAAAATATATCCGCTTTATATTTCAAGAAATCTGTTTAGGCACAGGTTAACACTGTTAATTATTACTTTCTGAATTGTTAAAACGGAGAAAGAAAATTTGCTTCTTTATTCGTTAACGATCAATTGAAACTAAGCAGAAACAAAGGTAAAAGAGTCTTAAAGTTCACCTAAAGTTAAAATACTAACATGTTCGACTCCACAACTTCTTACGAACATGTTAGTATTTTAACTTTAGGTGAACTTTAAGACTCTTTTACCTTTGTTTCCGCTTAGTTTCCATTGATCGTTAACGAATAAAGAGGCAAACTTTCTTTCTTCGTTTTACAGAAAGAATATTTTTATTCAAACTAGACGATTGTGGCGTGTTCGTAATCAGCCAATAGAACCGTTTGTTATTGTGTCGCGCGTTTCGAGAATTTTGTAGTTACTGTGTCAAAAAGCAAGCATTTTTGTCTGCTATGTTATAAAAGAATTTGCTCATGCTTTTAGCTGTACGTATATCGAGTTATGGATGCACTTGGGAAGTTTGGAGAGCACTCAAGAAGCTAGAATTGCACTCTTACGCATCTTTCGCGCTCTCCAAACTTCCCGCGTGCATCCATAACTCGATATACGCACACTAAGCATGAACAAATTAAATTCTTAATTTATTAATATTTAACTCTTTGAAACAAGAGAAATTAATTTTTAACTTTTTTGTTAACCGTAACTGAAAAAAATTAACTGATAGCCGTCAAAGATCCCAAATTTTAGCCGGTAACCGTAGAAGCCACCACCGCACTGAGACCCTCAATCAAGCATTTACAAGATTTTTTTCTCAGGCGACAAAATCCTTTTTTCTTTGACAGCTATCCTTCTTTTGCTCATCTTGTTTCGCGAACACGAACAATTATTGCGTTCGAGGTACGAGAACGCAACCCCTAATTTGTGTTGGATGTTCTGTGCATTATTGGGTGTCCTGTGCAATCAATAAGGGAGGTTTTTCTGAGATAGCATTTTCGTCGTCGTCGACACACATTTGCCTCGCTTTGAGGCGCTTGCTTACGTTTTGCCTCACTTTGACGCGCTAACTCATGTGGTGATTCTTGTGTCCTCGGCGTTCATCTTTCAAAGTTTTGCTGAGGTCTGATATTCTGTCTTCGTAAAGCGTTCATCTTTTAAAAAGTTTGCTGAATCTTCGTAAAGCGTACATCAATCTGTGTTTGCTGAATCGTCCAAAGCGTTGATCTTCCAGAAGTTTGCTGTTAAATTTTACTTTGGATTAAGCCTTCATATTTTTCAGCATGGTTCATCACTGTCTTTGGAAAATGTCTGCGACTCCTGGTGCATGCATCAAACCGGGTTTAATTGGGCGGCCTCTGTGCCACAAAGTAAATTTACCAAGTTGTGTAGCTCGGCGGCCGTTGTGCCACAAAGTATATCTACCGAGACAGTGAAGCTCGGCGGCGCCATTTGATCATGACTTGTGATATTTCGGCCCGGACAAACGATCACTTTTTAATCAACTCTGTTATTTATTAGGAAAAACTTATAAACCACTCTCGAGTCACTGAAATCAACACGCTCGACCAAATTACGGGAGACGTTATTGACGTGAGCCGAACACACATTCCATTGACGGCTTTCACAGGGTTAGTGCGAAGTTTGAATTCAGATGTGAAAGCTTTTAAAACAGTAAATTCAATGTAATTCATTTTGTCAACAAGTTGATGATTGGATGCTATTAAAAATAACAGAGGAAATTATCCGAATAAATGTTTTTGAAGAAAGAAAAAGAATCTCGGGTTAAGCACTAATCGGCCTTAGTAACTGCGCCCTGTAACTCACGCCAGTAAAACAAAATGTTCTATTTACACGCCATACGCACTCTGGCCAATGTCTCCTCCGATTACAAGAACTTGACACCGTACCATACGATATCTTTTCAAATCCTCCTTATAACGTGATACACAGTTTAAATAGAGGTTTTGTTGTACGCAACCCTTACGTTCAAAATATACCATAATCATATTTATCTATATCGCAACCACCCTTCCCCCTCAACTGCTACCTGTACGCCTAACAAACATATCGAACGCACTCTCCTAAGCTCCGATTACTCCTAGTTATAGTTCCTTTAACTAAGGTTAACTTACTGGTTATGCGAAATTTTTCGCGTGTCTCAGATGCAAACAAAGACGCAAAATCGAAAAATTGGTTATTACCGGTGCAAAATTTTCCAATTGTTTGCAAACGCCAAACTCTGTTGTTAGTCATAGTGCAAACAGGGCCATATACTCGCTCTTAGATGAAACATTTAAGCGCTTAAGTTGGTTATTGAACTGCGACGATCACATCCGCTTTCATATCCGGATGAAGCCGGATGTGAACTTATATCTGTTTAAAAAATTATGCAGCTGTACCTAAATATCAGTTAGACTGATTAATTTGTATAATAAATCACTTCCAGTGAACTTGACTTTGTTTCTTGGGAAAACAGGAAAAATCGTGGATGAGACCTCGAGGTTTAGCATTCTCAAACAACCATTTTCACGCCTAGCTAAGTTGGTTTATAATGGGTCAAACATTTTGGGCTCGGAGATATGATAGGTATGATCCCATGATCATTAGATACTCAAGTTTTCTCGGGGAAAGATACCTCATAAAGTTATCTTCTGCAGACCCCTGCTTGACAGGACTCTCGGATTTTGAACTATAACCGCTTCTATCATTCATCTAAAATATGCGCCCTTTTCTGATTGGTTCAAAGGCCAAGTGGTGCTTACTATATTTGGAAGTTGCGAGCAATATACCATCGATTCGATGGTACATTTCATTGGAAACGAGGTTGATCGATGGTATATTTGACTGGAAACGAGGCTGCATGGGAAATAGACCATCGATCAACCTCGTTTCCACGCGCGGCCGACTAGCTATTATTCCCGAGTGAACTAAAAAATGGCGTTCACGGCTATCCGAAGATGAAGTAGCTGAATTTCTAACTAAAACTCTACGGAATAAATGCAAAAATACCCACAATATATCGCTCGTGGATAGCATCCTCCTCGATCTGCATAGTTCAGTCTAGTTCTTTACCCCCTACTCAGCCTCATTCAATAATTGCTAGATATGTAACAACCGAACACTCTAAAATAGCTCTGGTGTGTTGTCTCGCCTTAGCTCACTGGCAATTAAATAACATAGTAATTTTCTGTTTCCCTCAGTTTGATTTTCTAATATTGCATTTTCTATGTGATGTGTAACCAGTAAGTGTATTCCTAACTTACACTTAGAGGTTTATAATACTAAACAAAGTTCATATATAAAGAACGGCGGCGCAGCTATACGTGTAGGAGATAGAATGTGCTTAGTATAACGCAAAGAAAAAATCAGATCGGAGGTGAATAACATGCATATTATCTTGATATTTCGTGAAGAGTTGATTTAATGTAAGACAAGAGCTCTTCGCTCGCATTTGAATTAGTTGTGATGTAAAATTTACTTTACGAATCGTAATGATCCTTAGCAATGTTTTTGTTAACAGTAGATAACAGCAAACCTGTAAAATTAAAGGTAAATTTAGTGATTTTTGTAAAAAAGAAGTTAACAATAATGACAATATCGAGTAACAGGACCTTTATTAACACGTTCATTCTTGTATAGCCCAATTTTTTCTAATTACCCATTTTTGTATAATTTCTCCTGTATTCATTATTTAGTTATGGTGATTTTTTTGTTACAATCAAGCAAGTAGTGTACCTTACCTTTATTGTAAACAGACCAATACCTCCGTTTGAAGAGGCAATAAAGATCTAGTTTGTCGACCTCAGCCAGTAGGTATTCCTTAGTTTTTTTTTTTCCTTAACCCTTACGAAGTTAGCGTGAATGGTCTGAATGTTCGCCGTCTCCTCTAGTCGCTCTGACGTAAGGCGGGATGTCACTAAAACGAGGAACGGGGAACGAGCACGGGAAACAAGAAAAATGAGACAACCCGGCCGTGGACGTTAACTAAGTGGTCCTGACTGCGCACTGTCAGCGCCAGTTTTAACATCTGCTTGGAACTTCGTTGTAGAGCTACCCCTTAACCAGGGGCATAAAACCACTTAAACATAGCATTGTTAAACGTATTTTAGTATAGACCTTGTCACGGTTTTCGACGCCATCTTGACGAGTAGGCAAACGTGTGAGAAATTACAGTGTTTGTATGAGAATTTGATGTCGAATAATTTCCGCAAAACGGCTGTTCTGAAAAAAATATCAGTTGTAAACTAAAGCTACAAAGCAAAGGACTGTCATAAAAAATTTTGGAGGCGTACCTGAGCTTAAATTTCTCAAGAGGCTTGCTTTAGATTTTCCATATATTTGTCTGTAATTTTCCCGGGACTTTCTTGCAGACAAATGTATAGTAAATTTTATAAAGTGGTTCTAGGTCTTCTAGCGCACATAACGCCCTCAAATTTTTTCAGTAGAATCCTTAGGAGTGAAGCTTTAGTTTATAATTGATATTTTTTTCAGAACAGCCGATCTACGGAAATTATTCGAAAGTTAACGTCCACGGCCGGGTTGTTAAACGGTAGCCAGTATAGGCATATTTTTATCCCTTAAAAATTTTTCATCTGTTCGGATTTCCTGGCTGAAAGTCTAGTAATCCGAAAATTATAGGGATCAAAACTTACATTTTCGAAAATTTCACCCAGAAAAAGGGCTCCCGAAAATTCTAAGTGATCTTCTTTGGCTAAAAGTCCGTTAAAAAGTTGCAATTATACTAGATGATTAGATGTTCGAAAATCCTAGGAGAAGCAGGCTAGCCAGAAATTTTACAACAAATGCTCCGAAAATTCTAGATCTCAAATCGTCTTCCGAACAGAAATTTTCCGA